ATAAATCATATTAAAACATATTTAAATCATATTAAAGCTCACTTCAGCCTTAAAGATAAAACAGTAACAAATCTTATTTCGGGTTCCTGTTTTTACCTTTAAGCATCGATGTATGGCGTAAGTGATTCGCCTCGAAATAGTACTGAATCTAGAAAATATTGTTTAAAAATTATAGTTTTACTAAGTTTTAAAAAAATTAAAAGAGTCAAAGCAAAATGAAAAGAATGAGCAAAATGAAAATATTACCATAAAATATAAGAATCTTTCACATTTATTTACTACTTTTGTTGGGAAAAAGCCACTGTTTTACTTTAAAGTTAATTTTTGTAACGTTTTGATTTCTACTTCGAAAATGGTTCTCAAAATACAAAACATTAATAATTTTGTTTTTATTGGTTGGTAAAAAACTTCTTACCAAGCTACGATGAGCATATTTTAAAAGTTTTACAAAATGAAATGGTATATAATAAAATGCAATATTATATTTTTGTAGGATAGTTCTAAAATTCTTCTCGCATAACACCTTAATAAAAGAAGTGCATTCTATGAGCATGACTAGTCTACCAACGAGCACGTTAACAGTGGATAAATTGTTTCGGTGCACTGAATACAAAACGGTAAAGACGAATGTAAAGATATATCTTATAAATATGTGCAGGTTTCGTAACAAACAGGTATTCTAACAAAAATAATTATAAAAGTTCTCGAGGTCTCAAAGACATGAATATAAAAAACGCTAAAAAATGATTGTATTAGTAAATATAAGTATATGAGTATACTTATACGAATATAATTATAGTACATAACACTGATATCAAAACTGTTTGTGCTTTATTGTAAGATATGGGTGGACCAACGCCAGTGGATCTATGGAATGAATTTTAAAAACCAAGGGTCCGAAATCTCCACAAACATAGATTATAGAAGTATCTTAATCATGAAGAATAAATGGAGTACAGACGAAATCTTGAAATTGATAAAACAACGTTGAATTATATATCGGAGTTGTTTGAAGTTGACAGAAATAATTTTACCAAGTCCTACCAAAATTATAGTGAACCCAAAAATTATGAAATCAGATGTAGATTTAAAAATGCTAAAATTAGGAAAGCTTGTGTTTCAGATGATACACACCTGAGTTGCTGAAGTTAATCTATTAGCTAGTAGCTAAAGATAACATAAAAATAGTAGTAAATAACACGGGAGTAATTCCCGGAGACTGGCTTAATTTCATCTTTGGTACAACACAATGCGAAAAAATACTAAGAATATCGATTAATTAGTCTGAGCCACACTCTTAAGATTTTTCTAAGAATACTTCACAACAGAATTAGATGTAAATACGAAGAAGATCTCAGATCCCTAATGTGGTTTTAAAAATGCTACAGGAACTAGGCAGGCCCTTTTTTGCGCTAAATATCTTATTCTAAAAATGCCGTGCAAAAAGAAAAAAAAAGGAATATATGCCAATGATAGTCGTGTCATTATTAATCTGTAGTCAAACTGCTTTTGTAAAAGTTTAGACAACAACACCAACATAATCTTCATACAATAAGGAATTAAACAAAGTTGTATTTTGTCCCTAATATTGTTTAATGTTTACTGACACCAGTTATTTGAAAAGGAACTTGGAGGCATGTCGAATAAAAATCAACGGGAATCTACTTAATGTAATTAGATAACTCTAACAAACCCATATTCAGATGCAGAGCTGCAATTAAATAGAGTCACAGTTGAAAAAGTTTACAAAATTTGCGAACTGTCAAAAGGGAACAACTAGATCCACAAATAGAAATAAAACACATAATAGCAATAACTTTTATATAAATAAAGAAATTTATCAAATGCAGGACAATTATTCCATGTGGCAGAAGATCGAGAAGCCTTCGCAATGATGATCGCCAACGTCGGATAATTCTGATATGGTATGTAAAAAAGAAGAATACAAATAATTATTTTAGGTTAGAAATAAAATAGATTTTAACTTTAAATAAATGAAATGTTAAAATAAACATATTAGTTATTTTTTAACTCCACAAATTGGTTGCTCCTGTACTGTTCCTTTCCCAAGTTAATATGCCCCTTTTCTAACTTGGCTGCACCGTACTGAAGACGACCAATAGTCAGAAATACGTATATACGGTTGCCTTCCATCGATATACCATTTTTGGTTTTCTGTTTTGCGAGACATGCCATTACTTTTTACTTTTATTATTCACTCGCATTATCCTTTTCCATTTGTTTTAAACGTTTCAACGTTTGGCATTCCTTTCCCCAGGTAGCTGTAGCTTCCTCCGTGGTTGGTGTTAGTTGTTGCCCTGTAAACCATCATGGTCTTCTAACTCTAATTCCACAAATTGGTTGCATTGCTCCTGTAGTGATCCTTTCCCAAGTTAATATGCTCCTTTTCTAACTTGGCTGCACCGTACTGAAGACGACCAATAGTCAGAAATACGTATATAATGGTTGCCTTCCATCAATATACCATTTTTGGTTTTCTGTTTTGCGAGACATGTCATTACTTTTTTACTTATACCTACACATATACATATATATATATATATATATATATATATATATATATATATATATATATATGTATATATATATATATATATATATATATATATATATATATATAAATATATACAGTAGTGACAGTGCAGTGATCATTGACCAGTGTAGTAGTGTCTGGGTACTCGGGAGACTGAGACCTCGGAAGCCCTGAGGAAGATATCAGGGAGGATGGCGAAAACTCGGCAAAATAGATATCGACGCGGTTTAACCCGGAAGACTGGTGAGTTTAATATTAATTTTTGTATAATAGTATTAATCTTAGCTCTAGATTTCATTGTAATAACCGCGGAAATCTTTCGGAACATATATATATATATATATATATATATTATATATATATATATATATATATATATATATATATATATATACTCATAAACAAAAATTTTGGTCAATACAGTCGCTTATTGTGAAGAAGAGTTTATTTAACAATGTTTAATGAACAATTTTTATAATAACATATCTACACTTTACCTTTTTCGAAAACATCAATGATACGCCCATATAAAAATAATAAAATTATACACTAATGACAGTATATCAACTATTATATACAGACAGTATATAATCAACTTTTATTTGTCAGTTCGTTAATGTCTGTGTCACGTTTTACGTTTTGGTAAGTCATATATATATATATATATATATATATATATATATATATATATATAATATATATATATATATATATATATATATATATATATATATATATATGTATATATATATATATATATATATATATATATATATATATATATATCTGTTTGTCTTTATACATATACATTTTAGAATCAAGATGAAGGGATATGAGAATAATGCGAATATGAAGGGTCGCAATAACAGTTTACAAAAAAAGTTCTTGAAACCCTAGCGCCTTTTACGTGCCTTGTGAAGATATTGTAAATTAGGTAATTACTGTCGCTGCAAAAGCGTCTTTACAAATTACAGGTTTTTTGCCATCGTGCAGAAACTTTACGTTGTTTTTTACATCGGCTAAACATTGGCAAGTTTTAAAAGATGAAATTCTAACTTTGACATTAAAATCTCTTTCTAGTACTAGAGTACTAGACACAATTACAATTTTTGTTTAATATAATAAAACTTATATTGGGTACGAAATAATTGTGCAAAATATAAGTTGAAAATAAGTTCAAAATAAGTTAGTTTTAGACGTTTCGATTTCCACCTCGGAAGTCATTCTCAAAATACAAACAATAATATTTGTATTTTGATAATGGAACGGTTAGAACAAATAAAGCAATATATTACATTGTTTAATTTTCTCAATGACCTATATAATTTCCTTAAAACGGATAAATCAGTTAGGTTTACAAAATGTAAAGTTCTAGAAAATATTGTTTCGGATCGAACAAAAAAAGATATTGTAGGTCAGGATTTATATGATTAAATTTACAATGTTGTGCTTTCTATTCCCCCTCAAATGAACGGTTCCCCTCAAATGTCGTCAACGGCCTATTCACCAATAACTTTATCTATCTATTACCAAATTTAGCAATTGCCATAAAGATTTTCTTAATATTACCTGGGCAGTAACCTTTAAAACTAAAACTAATAAAAAATTATCTATGGGACGATCTACAATGGGACAAAAAAGGCTTTAAATTTTTTTATAATTAGTTTTGAAATAGGTAATTCAGAAAATATAGATATGTCTAACATTGTTAAAACATTTGCCTTAGAAGGGCTAGAAAAGCAAAGTTTACTGTATAACTTATTAGTAAATAACATTCTATCTTGTATTTAACTGTATGTATTTATTCCTTTACAAATAACGTTAAAACATACAAAAATTACAAATAAGTTATAAAAGTATATATTAAATAAACTCTGTACACTTGTTACAATTTTGTTTTTCTTTAACGTAAAATTATTTTAACTTTTTATAAACTTTCTGAGAAGGTTGGGTTTGGGGAGGCGGCCAAATTACTGTCGATCCTTGGCGCAATTACTCTAGGAACGGCCCTATATATATATATATATATATATATATATATATATATATATATATATATATATATATATATTATTATTTTTACTTTTATTACTTCAACTTCAAACTACTGTGTTTCTAGAACAACTGGTTGAGTTTAAAGCTAATTGTACCTCTAATGTTAATGAGTATTAAAAAAATCCAAAACAAAATTTCTGAGATTTTTTTTTAATAGTTTAATAATAAAAAATCGAGAAAATAGAATCTAGGACGTGGATATTTATTCAGATTCATCTACATTTCTATTGTTAAGTTTATTTTATGAAGGTAAAATTTTTATGTTTAGTTACAAAAAAAAATAACAAATTAATCAATTAAAAAGAAAATTACAACATTAACTGCATAACAGAAAATTATTTTCTGTCGTAAATAAATATTGTGAACATTTATTTTCAAACAGTTCACTTACCATATTTGAATTTTTTTGTTGGTTATTTTCACACTAAAGAAATCCAATTTTTTTTGGCTCACCCACTATATTACGCACAAAACTCGATCGAAAAGAACAGCGCGTGCTAAGTACGCGGCCTGTATTGCAGCTATCTAACTACTTAAAGAAATCAAGTAAGCTATGAATTTCGCTCAACATAGGCCCCTCCAGAGGTTGCACTTCTTTTAGTTAAAGAGCCAGTTTACTTTTCTTTGTAGTTTTAGTTCATTTATGTTCATTCATTGCACTCGCTGCATTATATTAATGAATGGAAAAGGACTGGAAAAGGAAAACAATTCTCTGTATCTCTCTCTTTTTCTCTTTAGTCCTGACTCCATGGAAGTAATGTAACGGTCATCGTGATGTCGTGGATTGTCCGTCTCCAAAGGTCTTTGGTCATTTATTTTAACTCATGCATATGTATTTTGCATATTCCTGTATTTTGGTGGATCCATCTTGTTGGGGATTTCCTCGTGATTTTAGGCCTTCTACATTTCCTTGGATAATAGGTATTTCCATGTTGTCTGTGTCTTTTCTCATAACATGTCCAAAGTATTTTAATTGTTGGAGATGAATTTTGCTAAAGAGCAATTTTGTATTAATCAATAAGTTGGTGTTATAATTAGATACCTTTTAGTCCTTAGTTAAATGAACTTATAATAAAATGTATCAAGTTCACTAGATTATTTTATTGATTAACAATTAACTTTTGTAACGTTGCACATTCGTCGATTTAATGGATTTACGCGGCCAAAATTATTGTTTATAACATATTTCTACTAAAACTCATACAAATCAAAGGCAAATGTTATTTTTTTTTAAATTAGCTTATTTTTTTCATGGGTAAAATCAAAATTTTAAATGAACAAAACATATACAGGTTTATTCGTGAGATACTTCATAAACAAAACATTTATACCTTAGACATTCATAGGTGTCATCTAGGTTGCATTCCTCCCACACAACTTCTTACATAAATCTCGCGGCATAATCAAAAATGCTTATTCTTGGCTGTTTTCATATCTGCTGCTAATGGAGGATTTCAAAGTATCTTCGGCTGGTGTTCTTGAAATTGGCTTTTGATATGTCACTATCAATACAGTTTCATTTCTAAATCTGTGCCAAATATGTTTATTTTTTTGTGAGAAATAGTCGTAAAACTTGTACGTATTTTTTTAGTCAGATTGTGAAAATCTTTAGATGTCGCTCTACATATATACCACCGACTTGTAGATTTTGTATTGGTGTCAGCATTACAGACTTTGCCATTAATTAAGGTCAACTTAAAGACATGTTCAAACACGGATGTGTTACCGTGCCAAATAACTTCAGTACTTGTTAAATCCTTCAACCTTGTAAACTGCTTTTTAAGCAAGTACTTGTAAGTACTTTAAAATATCAAAATATTTGCTATAATTTGGTTAAACTATCAGATGTGTCACCATAATAAGTCAATAAGCGATTTTCCAAATATTTTAGTTTGACGTCTAGATTAGGCAAAAATCGTTGTTGTATTTCTTCTTCTTTGGGTGCCGTCTTCAATGAAGGTTGGCGATAACCTCAGCAAAATCATTTCTGTCCCTGGCTTTTCTTATTAAAGATTGAGAATCCAAACCAGTCCACTCACGAATGTTCTTCAACCAGGACGCCTGCCGTCTACCAGGACCACGTTTTCCTTCTACCTTCCCCTCTATAAGAAGCTGCAGTAGCTGGTATTTCTCATTTCTGTATATGTGTCCCAAATATGAGGTTTTCCGTGTTTTCATTATTTTTAAGAGTTCTCTGTCGGTACCCATCTTGTGTAGGACCTGCTCGTTGCTCATATGCGCTGTCCAGGGGACTTTCAGCATCCTTCGAAATAACCACATTTCAAAACTTTCCAAACGCCTTAGTGAGTTGATTTTGAAGGTCCAGGCCTCCATTCCATATAGTAAGGTGCTGTAAACGTAACATTTCAGCATTCGGTATCGGATTTTGAGATTGAGTGTTTGGGACGTAAACATTTGTTTCATTTTTAAAAAGACATTTCTTGCTTGTTCAATTCGCGATTTTATTTCTATGTCTGGATCTATATCTTTCGTTATCCAGCACCCTAGATATCGAAATTTCTCGACATTTTCGATAATGTTACCATTCACGTTTAAAGCCATGGGTGGATGGATGGATGTTTTGGAGACAATCATTGTTTTTGTTTTCTTGACGTTAATGCTGAGGCCGTATTGTTCTCCGATCGATCTGACGCGATCTAAGAGTGTCTGGAGATCCTGTGCGCTCTCTGCAATTAGGACCGTGTCGTCGGCGTATCGTACATTATTTAGAACTCTGCCGTTAATTTTAACACCTTCTCTTGATTGCTCTAGTGCTCGTGCAAAGATTTCTTCCGAATATATATTGAAAAGTAGTGGTGACAATACACACCCCTGTCGTACACCTCGCTTGATATTGAATATTTCTGTGTCACCGGCTTCTGTTCTAACTGCTGCAGTTTGGTTAAAATACAGCGTTTGGATAATTTTAAAATCGTTCTCGTCTAGTCCCTTTTTGTGAAGGCAATCCATCAGCTTATCATGTTTTACTTTGTCGAAGGCCTTTTGATAGTCAATAAAACATAAAAAGAGATCCTTTTTTTGGTCTCGACATTTTTGCAGCAGTATAATAAAACTGGTTAATGCTTCCCGTGTCCCAAATCCATTTCGGAAGCCAAATTGTTCATCACTGATATCCTGTTCACATTTCTTATAAATGCGTTGGTGAATAACTTTCAAGAATAACTTTAACATATGCGACATTAAACTAATAAGTCTGAAATCACCACACTTCTTTGCTCCCTTAGTTTTTGGAAGGGGAATAAAGACTGATTTTAACCAGTCTTGTGGAATTTCACCGCTTGTATATATTTGATTAAATAATTTGACGATTATATTTAAATGTTTCTCTTCCAGTAGCTTTATGACTTCCGTATGTATGTCATCGGGGCCAGGGGCTTTCCCATTTTTTGCGTTTTTGATTGCTCTCTCTACTTCTTGTTTTAATATAGGAGGACTGGTTTCATGGTTTTTATATATTATGTTGTTTAGTGGTGTGTCCGAGAATAGTTCTTCTATGTAATGTCCCCATACGTTGTTTAGATCGCTTAATTCCCATATCGTTTCATTCTCGTCGTTTGTTAATCTACAAGGGAGTCTTTGTTTTGTCATTCCAATTTCTCGGCGCTAGTAGTGTTGTATTTAGTCTTGATAATTATTTATGCACCAAGGGTGTTACTAAGATAATTACGCCTAAAGAGCAACATAATCTAGCCAAGGGGTGGATGCCTCAAATAAAGTATTTGAAATAGTCTATGACAGTTATTGATATTTTGACGTTTGCTGATTATATTATGTAGTTGTCAGTTGGATTATTATTCAGTTATGGATTTATTATGGACATTATGCCCCAGCTGTGTTTATAATAACCGTATCCAAGATAAAATAGACAATATTAAGCACGTGAAAAATAAAGATGTTTACGAGTTACTATTTTAATGCCAGATATAGCTAAAACTAGTAACTAGCTAGAAAATAGTAACTTATCATAATTAAACGAATTAAGTTCTTTTCTTTTTGTGACGATATCCAATATAGCAAAATTAACAAAAAACTTTTTCAAGTTTCCTAGCTAAATTCTACTTCATTATTTAGTCAAATACATACATTATACTGTTAATACTATTGTTCTGAAGCTATTTTCTTAGGACATCTTAATTTAGTTACTAGTTTTATTGGGAATAAGCCACAATTTAAGTTTAAAATAAGTTTATTTTTGACGTTTCGTGGAAATCGAATATCGGAATGTCGTATCGATATAAAGAAAAAGTATCTACAAGTTGGTTGAGCGGGCACTTAAGATGAAATCTGTCGAATATGTAAACATTTCACGCAAAACCATTTATAAAACAATAGCGGAGTGCAAAAAGGGAATACATTATGTCTGAATCTCCGAAAAAGAGGAAGACAACTTGCGTTTATTACACAGAGGTCCGAGAAATTGATGAGAAGACGAAAAAATTAGGCTGTACCGTCAAGAAGGAAACTGCCTATTATAAACGTAAAGCTTTGAATATGCAGAGCTATAATATAAATGCCTTGCCACATTACTTTAATTTATCTATGAACATCATTTTAATGATGATATTAGGTTTTGGCTGCACCTAGCATCATACCATTACTAAAGAAATACCCAAAACTGAAAGATTTATCGTGGAGGCTAGAAAACCCAAATAAATAACAAATAAGACTGTGAATTTACGACAAACTAACAGAAATTAATCCTTTATTCCGTCCAGGACCACATGCGTCTGTTAGAACAGAATGGACCACTCCACATTATGTGATAGTATGCTGTAGTTAAGTATTGAGCTATAATTTTATGATAACTAGTTAGTATTTAAATAACTTTCTTTATTAAAAAAAAATCCGAAAAATATTTTGTGCCATAACTTTTAGACGATACATATGTTAGATGCCTAACACATCGTCCAAAAGTAAAATATCCGTGGACTGAGCTGATACTGGTTAATAAAAAAGGAAAATTTGACAAAAATGTCAAATTATTTTTTAGTTTTTTATTTTGAAATATTCCTAGTTTCACGAATCTTTCTCTAAGGAGTTATGAACGTATGAATTGTTAATTACTATGTTAGATTTTTGTAACTCCCTAGTTGATATAATAGGCTAAAGTAAAGAGTAATAACTGTAAATAGTAGTAACTGGCCAAATTAAAGCCAACAACAGGATAATACAGACCAGACCAGATAAGACGTACCAAATGGGAGAAACACAACTTAAAATAATTAGCTATGCAGACGACGCAACGCTATACAAATCTCTTAAAGACAAGACGATTTAAAACGTATGCTGCACCAATTTAATGTAACCGCCAGAAAATTGTTAATTTCTTCAAGAAAGGCAACAGGCATGATTATAACAATAAATCTACTAAGCTGTAAATTAGTGCTGAAAGATCAGATAATAGAACAAATGATCAAGTTTTAATATCTAAAAGTCACATTATCTATCTACGGAAAGCTCGAAACAGAAGTGGAAATGAATACAGCAAACAGAGCCTGAATA